TTACCATGGCCACCAAGATCTCCCGACTTATCCCCAATTGAGCACGTGTGGGATATGATGGGTAGGAGTTTGCTCAATTTGCAGCGTCCTCCTCAGACTCTAGAAGCACTTGGAGAGGAGTTGGTGTTTGCCTGGAATGAGATACCACAGGAGGACATTGACCACCTGATCAGAAGCATGCCTAGGCGCGTTGGAGAATGCGTAGCACATCAGGGTGCATCCACACATTATTAAAGGTCAAAGGGCTTTAAGGCAGTGCAATCATTTTGAAATTTTTATCATTTACTTATTATGCTTCATTAAGTACTTATACAAAATTTTATTAAAATAAAACCATTTAAACTGGGTGTTCGGATTTATATGTCACTTAGTATATGTTTACTTGTAGACAATGCTTTAAATTGGATAGTACATATTGACAATCCACGTTCTAACGTTACTACATCATGCTATCCTTTGTCACGTCTCAAATTTCTTTATAATGAAACAGTTATTATGTCATATCACGCGCATGTCGAATCTCGTTTGAAGAATGGTATACTGTTCTGAGGTCTTCATATCACATGGTTTTTTAGATTGCACAAAAAGTCCTTAAGAAATATCTTTGATTTGTGAATACGAACTTCGTGCAGGCCAGTTTCAAGCTTCAAGCAAAAGCGATTGCTGACAATTCCCTGTATTTTTCTGATAGAATTGTATTGTATGTGAAACAAAACTTAAGAGAAATGTGTCATGGGCGCCGACCGTTGTTGTCTACTACTCGCTGTTGCATATGCTCTCATCCGAAATATCGTATATTGGTCCGGTGGTACCGTGGTAAGTGCTCACGAGACAGGGTGGTGTAACTAGAAAGCGATTGGAGATACCTTACCAATTCGGGCGTATTGGTAAGGTATGTCTATTGTTAACTCTCGGACGGTGTCTGCAGGTTACAGAATATTTTATTCCATTGTTAAAAATTATGAGACTGCGAAATCTTAGAAATATATACGAGGAAGGATGCACTGCCGCCGTGTCGCCTAGTTCCGATGTTTGGACCTTCATACTTTCTCTACTCGCCCCTTGAATGACGCGATCTCTATGACGCTGAGTTGTGTAATATTAGAAGTAACCTACTGTATACACACGTATACCATGCCAGGATTGCCGCGAAATCATTTTCAGGATCCGAATTCGATACGGTCTCAAATTGGGATGATCGTTTCGGCACATTTACTAGTGGTTTATTAAAAGATTCATCAGCAGCTGGTGCACAACCCGATCACAATCGGCATACCTGTGGAATTTAAATGAGTTCGCGTTCCGTTAATGCTGTTTTGTAATGGAATTTGTGCCTCCCCATTTACTACTAAACAAAGAACTTTCAGAAAATAGCGAAAGGTTGATATTTGGGCCAAAATACTTTTCGATGCCTAATTCCAGATGTAGTTTAGGAAAAAAACTGGGAAAATCAATATGATATTTTCTTATAATTTAGGGCAGCTACATCATGGTGATAGTTTGTTCCATGCTATGGTTACATTTGCAGCGAAGTTTTCAATGAGACTACAATGATTTTGGCAGTTTATGTAGGAAGTGGTGGTGAAATCAAACAACAGCGTTACTTTACTACAAAATGAAATTTTATTTTCGAAACATCGCTGCTGAGCTCGCTACTCTGGCGCCCTTAAACTGTACCACTAATACTATCCTCCCATTAAGTAATATCACAGAACTGATAAGTTCAAAGAAATATTTGTTATAGTTTAGACAACTACGTTACTAATGTCGTATTTATAGACATAAACTTATATAAAATAACAACAGCAAAAATCGTATACTAAACCAAAATAGCGAGATAAGCTTGGACTTTTGGTGAAAAACAGGTACATATGGAATCAAGACAATTTTCACTTACAAGAAACGCAAACATTATTCTTAATGCTGTTCAAAACTGGGGACAAAATGGTAACGCAATGGTAACCACAGTAACAAAGTGGTATCATACTCACATCACTTTATGCCTTCATAAAGTAGATCTAGTAGGCTCAAAAATAAACTAAAAAATGAACTTCCGAGGTCATAACGCAATATAAAATAACATAACTGTAAGGTATAAACTTCATTATCGTACAGTATATACTTCGAATTATTTGCACAACCATAAAGTAACAAAAATAATTCAACATCTTAAAAACTATTATGCAAACGTACATAAGTTTTATTTTTCAAAAACGTTCAATGGTTCGTCAAACTCGAAGAATGCTCGTTTACCTTTCATGACCATTTTAGGATTAGGAACGATTTGCAAGATATTGTCATAAGGTTCGTAAGATATATCAGTCTCGACTGCTTTAAAAATTTTAGCAGTACAATCTACAGTCTTATAAAACATGACCTTGACGTCTCCCTCTTCATCAACAGTACTTTTAGCTACTCCCAGGTAAGTATAATGTTTGTCTTTAACGGAAGAAACTTTAACTAAAACGTAAACACCATCTGATATCTTCGATGGATGAACGTTTTCCGTATCTATTAGCTGTTTTTCTTTCACGTTAGACACAGATGACTGGTCCAAGTTTGCAAGAACCTCTTCGTCAGAGCTAGAAGGTGGGGAGTAAACCATGCTGTAGTAACTTCTTCTAGATTCGGTAGGGACATTGTATATATCGGCTAGTAGTTCTTTGTTGTTCAATCCATCTGCATAACTCTTTTCTGTAGAGTTGCTGATTTTGCCAACGACGGGAGTAGGAACTGGCCGATAGGTTTTTGGATCCAAGCATAAGCAAAACCCTCTTTGACAGAAACAACTAAGGTCTCTATATTTTAATTCACCTGGAGTATCAGTGAAAACTTGATGAACCTGCTTAGTACCCTGGAGTGGTACTACATTTTTTGGTACAGTTTTTTCGACATTTTCAATGTCATTATCAGTCACCAAGTACAGACGGACCTTGCTCGAGTTCCTCAATGTGTGGAAAAAAGTTTCTGAATCAGAAATATCTGAACCAGTCGCTACCTTTTTATCTGCAGTGCGTTTAAGGTAACCACCAATACCATCAGCGGCACCTTTGCCGTGACCTGCTTCAAAGAAGTTCCATGTGACGCGATCGAAGTTGTACTTGAATATTTCCGTACATATGAAATAGAAATTTAGTTTCTGCCTGTACAGAGTAGCAGGACCATCGGAGAAGAAATGGATTGTTGTTATATTAGGATGTACAGTTTTTAAATTGCTAATAACTGGATGGAGGTGTGCCCAAATAGACACGGGAGTGTGAGAGTTATTTCCAGAGATAGTACAAAATGACATTATCGTCGGTTTGTCCTCTCCTTCTGTTTTGGTGTACATAACTCCAGTATGTAATGTAACCTGCTTCCTCGAGCCGCCAAAATGATGGCACTGCACTTCTTCAAAACATTTGCAGCTATAGTTCTCGCTGAAATCGATGTGTAGAACGATTTCATCACTCTTCAAATTATCTATAGCATCTCTATAACTCCTATACTGTATTTTTATGTTAAAGATATGTTTTTTCAATTCTCTCAGGGTTTTATTAAACCTTCCTATTAATTCTGGAACAGTCCTTTCAACAATTTCTTTTACGTTTTTTGTAATCTTCACTTTTTTTACTTGACCTCTCTATCACTTCACACTTTCTAACCCACTGAGGCCATTTAACTGATTGTGAGTGAAGGTCATTCCGTATATTACATACTATTTGTTTAGTATTGCAGTCTCCACAGTTACCGGTCATGCACGCTCTTCTATTTGTTGAGCATGCTAAGCTTGACACGAGGTTGCTCATATTTGGAACAGGAATGATTTTGTTTTTATGGAGAGCATTTATTATATACTGCGTGTTAGTGTGTAACTTGCATAGGCAAGTTTCTCTACCACCAACTGTAGGCGGCTTTACATAGAACGGTCGATGTCTTATGAAGTATGAATATGAACATCTCTCACCTATAAACTCTTTCTTGAATGAACAGTAAAGGTTTTTCATTGTGTCCTAGTAAATATCGTTTTTGGCTTTTTACTTTTTTGTAGGTTACAGTTTCTCGCTTTCCCGCTGTAGCTCTAGAAACATCGTCGCGATTAAAGAACTCCTTGATTTTTCCAACAAGGTCCGCTTTCTTAGAGAGAGTCAGCTTTCGTTTTAGCTGGTCAATGCTCAAAGTCTCACGCACAATAGCAGTCTTCATTTTTGACTTTGATATGGCTTCTTCGTGGAAAACTTGTCTTAGAGCTCTCTTTTCTTTTACTGTTGTCAGTCCTTTGTAATGAACCCTAATAGCATTTGATAATGTAGAGTATTTATTGTTATCAGGATTGATCCTAGGCTGTCTAGCCCTTTGATACCTCTTCTTGTACTTATTACATTTCTTTTTTAGTCTTTCCAGTTCTTCCTGTAATTTCACATTCTGTCTATATAACGCAGATCGGTCGCGCCTCACCCGTTTCCGGCCTCTACACCTGGGAGAATCTGGAGTTCCTGAACGTGGTGTGGAAGGTGGCGTGTTTTCTACCAGTTGCTGTGCAGCTTTTTGTCGTTCTCGCCGTTTCTTATTTGCAATCTTCCATCTACGTTTAGCAGCTCTATGCTCTCGCTCAGTCATATCTTTCACTACTGTTTTTTTGGCGTGGTATCTTTCAAGGTGTTTTCTTTTAGCTTCATCATTTTTTACGGGGTCCAGCTTCAACTTCAGCCTATACCGACGCTGCTTTTCCGCTGGTGTCAGAGCCATTTTGTTGATAAGCTTCTTTCTAAAATCAAAGGAGTGTCAAATGGGTATTTTGGTTCCACTAGTGCACCTAAAACAGCTGTGTTACTAGCGGAACAACTGCGTTACTTTTTTTGGTAACGCAGTGTAGCAGTAACGCAGTGGTCAATTTTTGATTACTTCATTTGTCTGCACTCAATCACACAACCCAAAGCAATTTCATTATGGGCATTGGAGAATATACCTAAATGACTATGTAATCACAAATTCATAAATCAAATATCAGCTTTACTTACATTTCTTTGACGGTAACTCAGCATTCGCACAATAAACACACGCATCTCTTATAATGGCTGTCAAGCGACTACTTCAATTGGCTGAGTCAGCTTACCTAACGGCCACTGCTCGAATTAATAGTCACATCAAGTCAAATGGAATGAGGTACATGTTTTAGCGATACACTTATTTTAAGTTCTATTTTCACATAGAAACTCAGGGTAGTTAAGATTTTGTGCTTTGCTGGGGACACAATATAAAATATTTTTTATTTCGTTTCACGTTCAAAGTAAATCGTATCTATTGGAGCCCTAAACAAGGTTGAATGAAGTAGTTTTGAGCATAATTTTCATGAAAGGCCACCTAGCAGAGAATACACGAGGCTGATATCTATATCATGAGACTGATGTGTAGGGACAGTAATATTTTGTATGGAAAACTACTGCGTTACTGGAAAAGACAACAATGTTACTAAAATTTTCCAATAAATATAAAATTTTAGTTAAATTTCGTGTTGTAGTTTGATTAACCCACAGTGTTATATTAACGAATCACTGTCATTTTTGTACAAATTGCTTACGGTTCGCCCAAAAAGTAGATTACATTTCAGGGGACCAATTTTTAGGCACACAAAAGTATTTCAGCCCATTTAATCATTGGTTCAGAATCAAAAACTCTTTTCGTGTGGATGACATTTTGCTTCTTGGAACATTCTTCCTAACTGTGTCGCTGTTTTTGTTTCTTTTCATACCGAAGCAACCGCGCAGGCAGAAGCCTAAATGCTAGGGCATCGCGCCTGCTATGAGCATCTCAAAGAAACTTTGTTAATACGATTTTTGAACTGCCTAAGGTTAGTAGAACTGGGAAAAGCCTCCTCTTGTAGATTGTTGCACAATCTCGATACCCTAGAGACAAAGGAGCGGTCGTATAGGCCACTTTTTGATCTTAGAAGTCCGACACGGTTAGGATGGGATGTCGAAATTGGGCGGATCTGCCTGGCAGGAACGTCACGCGGCGGCATCATGGAGAAGAGCTCTGAGGAGCAAAGCCTGTTGGTGGAAATGAATGAATGAATCTTGAAAGTAGAGGCAATCCGGCCACCATAAGGAGCCATTACATAGGCCGCTTAAGCGGGCCCTTATGCACCTCTACAATCCTTAGATCACAAACCTCGCCCTTTTAGCGAAGTTGAGAATAGCCTTGAGTCCAAGCTCCTTGACGTCCTGAGGGTCCAAAGTAATGGTATAGTCTGCCTATAGTAGCTCAGAGCTTCACAGCGACACAAAACGTGCACCGAGGTCCCTTCCTCTGCTCTGCAGCGTTCACACAAGGGATCCTCAGCCACCCCCATCACGTGCAGGTGACGCCTTAACGTGTTATGGCCAGACAACAGTCCCACCAGCAACCTTAGGTTGGCTCTATCCAGAGATAGGCAGAAACGTCCATCCTTAGCACTGGGCCCTTCAATGAGTTCTCGTACCTGGCGGAGATGTCTGGAGATACTTCTTCATTTCTGAGAGTGTTGTCTTGCAACCACGTCTCCATTTTCCTCCTAGCTTCATGCGCGGTCACTCCTAGAGCTGGCTCAGGACCAACAAGATTGCTGGCTGATCCTGTCTTCGCCAGAGTGTCCGTCGTCTCATTGCCCCTTATCCCAGCGTGCCCCGATACCCATATTAACGATACCGGATGCCTCGCTGCGAGCCGATCCAGAGCCTCTCTGCATTGCAATACAAGACTCGAAGTAATCTTACAGGCACTTAGTGCTTTCATTGCAGCCTGGCTGTCAGATAAGATTGTTATTCTTCTCCTAGGCCCACCCTCCTCCAGAATCGCAAAGATTTCCGCCTGGAAAATGGTGGTGTATCCACCTGGGCCTAGTTCTAGGCCCAGAGACCCCAGCACCTGAGCTCTCTTCGGTGACTGAGCCGTCCGTGTACCAGACCTGCCCGCCCCTTGACAGGATTCAAGAAAGCCCACCTGCCCTGACTCCACAGTTGATGAGCGACTACTCTCGCTTCACCGCGGATCACCAGATCCAACGGTGAGAGATCCAACAGAGCTTCCATTGCACTCAATGGCGTTGTTCGCACTGCGCTTGTAATACTAATACAGGCCAAACGCTGAATTTTATTGAGTTTGGCCTTAGTTGTCTCAGTTCTAATGCAAGGCCACCAGACCAGGGAGCCGTACAAGAGAGATGGACGTACTATCATCGTGTAGAGCCAGTATACCACTTTGGGTTTAAGCCCCCACCTTACCCCGACAACACGTCTGCAAGCCCACATCGAATTGCGAGCCTTGCTAACCTTGTATTCCACATGCTCTCTCCAGTTCAGTTTGCAATCCAGGATAATTCGCAGATATTTCACTGACTGGGACAAAACTAATCTAGTCCCACGGAAGGTCGGCATGACCAGCCCGTCAAACCTTCTTCTCCTAGTGAATAGGATCAGCTCGGTCTGTTCAGCATTAACAGAAAGATCGACTTCCTTACACCACGATTCCACGGGGCGCAGAGCGCCCTGCATAATTTCCGAGACTGTTCTACAAAAACGCCCCCTAACTACTATGCTTACGTCATCAGCATAGGCTTGCGCGTAGACATCCATACTGCTGAGCCTAACGAGGAGTTCGTTCACCACGATACACCACAGTAGGGGTGACAGAACTCCGCCCTGAGGGCAGACTGTTGGTGTAGAAGAAAACTACACTGCCGACGGCCGCCGGTGTGACAGGGTCCCCCCATCGAAACGGGATGAGCGCTAGGACGCTTTCTGTTCGTAAAAGGTACAGTACTGTGTTTTGGAAGCATTCTTGCGTCCCCAAGCAGTGACAATCTCCAGGTCTCTCGTCACAGAGGTAGTCGCTTCTTTTTTCCGGCTCACCGGATTATTCTGTGAAAATAATGTTTATTTAGGTTTTTTTTAAATCTATCGAATACTGAACATCTCATAAACGACTGATATTTGCTTGAGCAATATGTATGATATTACGAGGAGTGTTTAGTATGAAACTAATCAATATTACAATAGCGACTACAAACCTATTACATAGTAAGTACGCAATATTATTGCAGCATTAGCGTGATCAACCAATATTGCCTCGTGGAGGTGTTAAGTTGTTGCTCAAATAGCTAAGAGTCCCTTAGCGTATTTATACGGGGTGTAGCAATAAGGTGTGGAATATTAACAAATACTATGGTGACCCGAAAAGTACGGACTCCCTAATTTTTAAAAGTGCTAAAACCATTCCTTTTATCACTAATTGCCACATTTTATCATAAAGCTAAAACAATAATTTATTTTTCTACGTAATCACCATGTCAGTCGATGTTTCACAATTAAAACTATATCCGGGGATAGACAGAAGAAAACAGAATATTTTACCTTTTTATTTTGTCCTGGCTTTATTCGAAGATGAATTTCAAAATAAATTGCACATCAATACTCGCACTTTTTCTCTTCTAACGGGTGATTTTTTAAGATGTATAAGATTTGATTTTCAAAAAAAAAACACAAAAAATTTGAAAAAACGATTAAATCTTTATTTGAGTCGATAGAACGGTCGATATAATTTAATGTTTAAAAATTATTTTATGTAAATGTTGGCCGCGGCTCCGCTTTAGATGGCCCATGCGCAAGGTCCAATTTTGGCACACTCTCTCCCACATATCGGCCGGTATCTCACGAATAAATGCTTCAATATTGGCTTCCAGTGCGTCAGTCGTTGCTGGTTTATCCCCGTAAACATTAGCCTTAACATGGCCCCACAAGAAATAGTCCAACGGCGTTAAATCACACGATCTAGGCGGCCAATTGACGAGCCCCAAACGTGAGATAAACTGTTCACCGAACTCGCCTCTCAATAGGGCCATTGTTTCGTGTGCGGTGTGGCATGTGGCACCGTCTTGTTGAAACCACATTTCAGCCAAGTCCAGCTCTTCCATTTTGGGCAAAAAAAAGTTTGTTATCATCGCACGGTAGCGCTCGCCATTCACAGTTACGTTCCGGCCATTGTCGTCTTTGAAGAAGTACGGCCCGATGATGCCACCGGCCGATAATCCACACCAAACAGTGATTTTTTCGGGATGCATTGGTAGCTCTTGCAATGCTTCTGGCTGGTCTTCACTCCAGACGCGGCAATTTTGCTTGTTAACGTACCCATTCAACCAGAAATGAGCTTCGTCGCTGAACACAATTTTTCGATAAAAATGTGGATCTTCCTCCAACTTTGTCAGCGCCCATTCACCAAATGGCAAACGTTGTGGGAGGTCGTGTGGCTTCAATTCTTGCACCAGCTGTATCTTATAAGGTTTTACACCCAAATCCTGTCGCAAAATTTTTCAGGTAGTGGAGTAACAGAGGCCCAATTGCTGCGAACGGCGGCGAATCGACATTTCACGGTCATCACTAACACTGGCGGATTCAGCCGCAATATTTTCTTCAGTCCTCACTCTACGTCTGCGTGTTGGTGGTTTAATGTCCAATAATGTAAACTGGGTTCGAAATTTAGTCACAAGCTTCCGAATAGCTCCCTCAGTAGGCCGACCAAATTGCCCATAAATTGGAAGCAGTGCTCAATGCCTTCTCTTAACCGAGCATGAATTTTGATAGTAAAATTCAATAATTTGCAAGCGTTGTTCGTTCGTAAGTCGATTCATGGTTAAATTATAGACCAAACTGAACAAGTTTGACAATGAGACAAGACACGATTCAAGCGTCATCTGTCAAAAACAGTGTTGCCAAAAAGATACTAGCAAAAAAATCACCCGTTACAAGGTGCCCTAGGAGGAATTTCAGTAGGACGAATCGTTTATCGTTCTTCATCATCAACCTAGTTTTTTAGAATAGACTTCATATTGGAATGGCATATGTAAAAAGTTTTAATTCTGATTTAAATAATGCATAGTATACATACTGATATTGTAAAACTACAATACTCGTAATTGTTGAAAAAATCAGTAGGCCTTAAAATTATCAGATTTTTTTTTATATTGAAGCAGCCTCGTAGGCAGAAGCCTAAATGCCGGAACATCGCGGCTGCTATAATGTTTCATGGGATCATAAGCCAAGCTTCTTATTC